ATACACAACCATATGCCCTCACAAACTCAACACCCCATCATACACATATACACCCAAACCATCACACACCCACACTAATCACACCCCACACACTCTCCCCAACACACATACCACACACAATACACCAGTCTAAGACTTTATTTTTTAACTATTATGCAATCACCTCTATATACACTAGGCAAATACACATGAATCAGGACAAAATATTTTTTGAAATAAAATTAAAATATGATATAGTAGATGTTTGACTTTTAGTATATAATTTGGTTTTTTTTCTGGTTCCAAGATGGCAACCCCTTCCCAAAGAGAGTACTTCTGGGGTCAAGATAGAGGAACTTCCAATGGCAATGGTTGGCGGTTAGAGGGCAGGACTCCCAGTCTGAAGATGGTGACCAGGGGTGAGGCAACTGCCAAAGGGTGGGGCTACCATTGCAGCCCTCAACAGCTCACCAAAACTCATTAAGCAGCCCTCCAGCTGAAATAATTGCCCACCCCGTCTAGAGAATACTCATCTCTACAAGTTATATACTTGCCTGCGTAGCCAAGTCATTTTCTATGCAAATGGCAAGACAAACGCTGTTATTGTAGTCTGCAAATAGCTTCTAGCATGTGGAAAAGGGAGGAAAAAAACTAATGCTTACATCTCTGATAAGCCAGCTGACTGGGTAATTTCGATTCAAGAAAGCAGCTACTGCATTTTCCCACCATGCACCAGCATCTGCAAAAAATAAAAGGGAAACATACAACCATATAACTCCTGTTGATAAATATGTCCTCCATGTGCTGTCATTATTCTTTTCCATTCTGCCATATGCATCTTTTTTTTATGGGTCTGACCAACTATTTAGTTGGTCTAATAAAAGATACCACATCTACACAAAGAACCTTGTCAACCATTGTTCCCATGTTCGCAGTGTGGGCGGTGCACACAAAGATTTCCCTGCTATATCGCCGTAGCAATGCACTAAAAGTGGGGAGCGTGCCACTATGGCGACATAACTAGTGATCACGTGTAGATTCACATGATCACTATGTCACCATAGCACACGCCACAGTAACAAAATAGTCACACGGTAACATGTAGACACACCCAGAGTGGACAAAAAAGGGTATAATGTACTTTCATGTCCAGAGGATTAGAGAGGTTGCCTATTTCACCATAGTGGCTGCCATCTTTGTATGGCAGTATGGTAGAACAAGGACAAAACCAGATGAAATAGAGTACATTTGTCCCACTATGGAAAAGGTGAGGAGCATAGGGTGATGGCTGCATTTTCCCCTCCACTGAACTGCTTACGAATGATGGTCTACCATTTAATTTACAACTGGGAAGTTAAACTACTGCAATGCACTGGTACAATGGTTGATAAGGTTCTTTGTGTAGATGTGGTATCTTTTATTAGACCAACTAAATAGTTGGAAAATTGTTCTTTGCAAGCTTTTGGAAACAAACGCCCTTCTTCAGGGATAGGGAAAGTTGACTTAGTTGACTTTCCCTATGCCTGAAGAAGGGTGTTTGTGCCCGAAAGCTCACAAAGAAATGTTTTTCCAACTATTTAGTTGGTCTAATAAAAGATATCACATCTACCCAAAGAACCTTGTCTGCCTATATCCTTCGACCAACATGGCTACAACCAATAACCCTAAAGCATGGTACAATGATTGGCATTAACTATAGGCAGTGTGCTTGGCTTACCTCGTTCATTACCAGAGACTGTAAATTTGTGTGGACTTTGTCCAGTCCATAAGCCAACATAGCCACAGAAGGTAGTGCCCTTATATGCTACCTGAAAATCAAAGATGTACAGGATACCAGAGTTATGGGACAGAATTTTTTTAATGCAAATCATATTGTGAAACAGTCTCCTACATTCTACCTATTTCTTAGAAGGAAATAATAATTCCACTGTGGGCCCTTTGAAAAATTAACACAATAAAAGTACACAAATATACTATCTGTCCTCCTCTGGGGAGGAGATATCAAAAAATGTAAGTCTACTCCATGTCATTTAGTAATTAGAATCCAAGTACTATGAAATGTTGAGTTAGTGAGTTAAATCTGAGAAGTTAGTTTCAGTAAAATATTTAAAATTTTTAATGCAAACCTTGGCCATTGAACATAATGTCTGCAAAAGGCTTCCCCATCCCTTACTCCACCTGATCCTTCCTGTACATGTTCTAGTATTTTCTCCCTGTTTTAAATGTCACCAGTGACTGTTTTTCCAACTTCCCCTTGGAAGGCTGTTCTTCAGCCAAATACACTATGCTGTGAGAAAGAGTATTCTGAAATCCAGCCCTAACCTTCCCTTCTCTCAATTTCCATCGATTACATCCTAGTTATACCCTTCCCAAATGCAGTATCACTAAAAGCACTAAAAGGTGGCTTTCATCCTTCTAATATTTGTAAACACGTATTATCCCTTAACTACACAATACATATTTTTTTTCTATCAGGATTTCCTAATAGATTAGCTTTCTCCCAGCCCCAAATGAATTTTGCAGCTTTACTCTGAACTTGAACCAATTATTCAATCTCTTGCTAGCAACCTTGTATCCAGGAAATGCATCTACAAATACAACCCTAGAGAAAGATACTAGGGTACCGAGATACTATAATAAGACCTGTCATCCTGCATGGTGAAGAACTCCAAATAGCAAATGTTTGTGTAATTTATTATCAGGCCCTGCATAGATGATTCACCAAATCTAGCTGCTTAAATACATGTACAGCCATATGCCATTCCCAGAAAGTAGGGATGCTAATATGATCCATGGAGCAGTGTCATCTGGCCCACAGGGCTGGAAATCTGGTAAAGGGGTGAGTGGCAGCAAAATTAATGACTGTGACTTTCTACTAAACTGATCCAGAGCAATGATTCATGTCACCTGGCCCATGGGGGTGCCTGAGGGCCTTGGAAATTTGATGGCAGGATGATCACAGCTGCCACAGCTCCCAGAGCCAGGACAATGCTGTTGCCACTCATCCCACTGCCAAATTTCCAGGCCTGTGGGCGAGGTGACACAGCTCTGCACTCCAGATTTGATCCAGTGGACCAGTTCCACACAACTCACAGGGCCTATAGGGAGCCCTACGTTATTCATCTGGCTTGTGCAGCCAGATGTTTGACACCCCTGCCATAAAAAATGCCATCAGTCGATGTCACACACAAACCATACCTGCCCATTCTTTATAAACTGCACATCAATTGTAATCTTGCGTAATATATCACCAGTATCATAGTCCAGGTTCCGGCCATGGTAAATGTTTCCTTTGTAATCTTGGGCAACAATGCTGGTACAGAAACTGGAAGCAAACAAAAAATCCAGAAGAAATTACTTTAAAAAAATGAGGAGACATTTCTCAATAATTAATCTAGATGAATGAGGCTGAAAAATTCTGAAGAGCCTTAATAGCGTACTATATATACACACAATAAAACAGCTATAATTGGAAGAAAATAAACTGCCTTACAAAGGTTGACAGTTACATTAGAAGCATTCAGTTGTCAGAATATGACAATAAATTTATATTGACTTTGAATCACATGACCACATACTACTGTTGAAATAGTAAAAACCATAGCAATTGTTTTTAACAAATTTACATACGCATCTTGCATATTGTTGTATTGTGTGCAGTTCTTTGTACAAATAGTCCACCCAGCCAGAACTGTAGTCCAGTACCAGAATTCCTGCCCATAGGAACTTGGAGGTCACTTTTAACAAGCAGGTATCTCCCTTTCCCACAACAACTATAAATAATCCAAGTTTACATTATCTGCAAACTTTCCCTCAGACCTCCTTCTCGCCTGCGGTCCTTGTTCTTTCCCTAGCATTGCCCTGTGGCAATGGTAATAAAGCTACCACAGTGCAGCACTGATGCTGTATTTGAAAGGAAAGAGAAAGACAGAACAATGAAAGGTGTATAGGAACATGGAACTGGAAGGGGCCTCCTTGGCCTCAATCCAGGCCCCTGCATTCACAGGTAATCCTTAACCCAGGGGTGGGCAATTACTTGGGCCAGAGGGCCACATAGTGAGTTTTAATAAGCTGTTGTGGGCCGGGTCAGAACCTCCCGCCCCGCAAGCAACTCACCAAAGCTCCCTATGGGGCTTTGAGTGGGCAGGGTTTGGGAGTGGGATAGGTGTGCAAGTCTGATTCGCTCCCTGCATGGCCTGCCCTATGGGGGTGTGAGGGATGTGTGTATGGGGGGGGGGGTGCAGCCCACCAGCCTGGCCCTGGCCAGCATGCAGCTTCTGGCAGAGCTGTTACTTGTGTAGCTGTAGCCAGCTGGGTGCTGCTCTGCTCCCCTCACCTCCAGCAGGAGCTGCCTGCTCTGCTGTGCTGTGCTGTGCTGTCTGGGCAGGGGAGAAGCTTCGGCTGGGCGGCTCCAGCTCCTGGCTGCCTTCCACCCAATCTGCCAGCCTGCAGGTGGCTGCTCATCGTGCTGGGTGGGTGGAAGGCAGGCAGGACCTGGAGCTGGAGCCATGTGCGCCGAGGCAGGAGCCATCCAGCTGAAGCTCCCCCAGTTCAGAGTGGCACAGCAGGGGCAGAAGCATGTGGACGAGCTGCAGCTGGAGGTGAGGGGAGCAGAACAGCCCCGCCAGGCTGGGCCCTGGTTAACACATGCAGCTTCCAGCAGGGCAGTTCCTAGTCCAGCTTCAGCGAGCTGGGTGCTGCTTTGCTCCCCTCGCCTCCAGCTCCTCCTCCTGCCCCACTCCAGGTGGGCAAGCGGGAAGAAGCTTTAGTCAGGGGGCTCCTGCTGGAGGCGAGGAGAGCAGAGCAGCACCAGGAACAGACCTGCTGGAAGCTGGGTGCGTTGGTTGGGGCCTGGGCCAGCAGGTGGAAGCCTAGCAAGGCCTGCTCTGGCAGGAGCAGGTGTAACTCTGCCCCAGGTGGAGTGCTGTGGGGGCAGCTGCTGGCCACATCCAGTCAGTTGGTGGGTTGGATCCACCCCTGCCTTAACCAAAGGAATTCCCAAAACCATTTCAAACGCTCACACAGAACTACAAGGAACAATATCCAAAACACCCTATGATACAGGGGAGTTGTATGTTTTTATTAGGGGTTGCAGAAATATAGTACATGTTTGAGGGAACAGTAAATGGTCCTGCATTATAGTAAAAGCTGTGTTAGCCAGCATTCTGCTAGCCGGAATACTCTATTAACCAGAATTTCCGGCTGGCCGTGTTGAGGAGTTCGTGAGCCCTTGCGGAGCTATTCCTAAAGACACAGAGTCACTGTCAATCTCAAAATTTATTCAGTATGCTGGGCACCCTGAGCGAACTCAGAGGCCCCGAATAAAACTGTTAGAGGCGATTTATAGTTTACAGACAAGATGCGTGCGCAGGTGGGAATTTTCCTCTGTGAATATCAGGTCAGTGTGGGAAAACTCTTAATTGTTTCAAAACTGGTTTTTGGCTGCATGCTAACTAATGGGGGGAGGGGGGGCCTGCATTCTTGATTGTTTCAGGCTTCAAGGTGACTAGGCCTGTGTCTTATCAGCCTGTCCTTGAAGGCTGAGTCTGCTGTAGAAGCTACACTATTATTTATGATCTTGTTAATAAATTTCTACAGCCGGATGCAGGGGGAGGCTTGCACGTGGTGACTGCTGTCACTGCCATCCACCACCCTGTGCTGCCGCTGCTCCACATGCAGCCGCCACCCTCCTCCGCCCCCTGTATTATCTGCCTCAGATAACCAGAATTTTTACATAACCGGCACCCCCCCATTCCCCAGTTGTGCCAGATAACAGAGCTTTTACTGTATAATGTATATAGTACTATAATGTATATAGAAGAAAGGGAATTCAGATGACACTTGCAACTTTAACATTGACTTGAGTGCTTAACTGTATAATTTATAAGGTTCACTGATCACATTGTGTTTACACTGTGGCAGCCTTCCAGGAGTTCTGGCTGTCCTGGAGCAAGCAGTGGCTGGCCTTCCCCTAGGCTCAGAGATGGCGGGATGTGGGGAAAGTGCATGTTCAGCCCTTTTGTTGTAACTGCACCCAGAGCCACTCACAACAGACGGAGGAAGCCAGGACGCAGCTTGAGAGGGAGGTGCTGGAGGGGATCCTGACACACCAGTGAGGCTCCTCCATCAGCAACACCTGCCTGCTTGCTAGCTGCTTCAGCAGCAACCCCTGTGTCTGCCCTCCTGTGGCTAGTCCTGCGCTCCACTCCCCCTCTTCTGGTGTTTTGTGATCAACTGAATAAGCCAGCAATGTGGTTTCCCTTTCCCTCGTGTGTGTCCCTGTTCATCTTTTTGTGATTCGCCTCCAGCCCCAGCCCCTCACACATATACCACCCCCACACAGGTCATCCATACTGACCTGTGGCAGTCTCTCTCACAGGACCTGGCCAGTGTCAGCATTAGTTGGATACAACTAGCATAGATCAGTATGGAGGACTGGGACCGGCTCATGGGTCATAGAATCAGATCCTTGCACCCTGGCCGAGCTTTTGAATGCCCTCCAACTGATGCCCACCAAAAAAGCACTGGGTATCAAGGGGCTGACTGTGGAGTTCTATCGCCCTTTCTAGGATGTCCTTGGCCTGGACCTTGAAGGGGATGGGGACCTCCCTCTGTCATGCAGAAGGGCCGTTCTGACCTCGCTGCCCAAAAAGGGGGCATCCCACGATCTGAGGAACTGGCGCCCAGTCTCAGTCCTCTGTATGGACTATAGGGTCATTGTAACAGGTTGGGGCCCCAGGGGTGGCAATGATACCCCCTGGTGGCTCCATGACCATGCCTTACTCTACACCTAGGATGCGCCCCCATCTCACCTGCCACACCTTGATGGATTATAAATTAATATAAAGGGAGGCTGCCCATGGACCATTGCTTGGCCCCAGTCATACTGGCCCCAGACCCCTGGCTGGGCCTCGGCAATCAACTGTGCCCAGTAGGGCACTCAAAGCCTTATGGGCTAACTGTGTGGCTCCAAACTGCCCCTTTAACACCTGCATGGCATGGAGCGTGGTATCAGCATATTGTCCCTCTGTTGGGACCTCGGTCTCTGGCCCTTTAATTTAGCTAGGCCTGCTAGCCTAGGCCTACTGAATAGGACTTGGCTCTGAGGCACTAGTTTCCTTTGTCCCTTTTAGGCATTGAGCCCATAGCCCCTCTGTGGCTGTGTCCCTCTTGGGCACTGGGCCCCTCTGTGGCTCACTAAGCCTTTAAGCCCTGATCCTCTCTCTGGCAGGGATCACGGCAGTCAAGTGCCCCCCTAGACACTAATGGGGCCTCCACCTTCCCTATAGCTTCATCTGCAAACCACTGGTAAACACAATATAAACACAAGCCCCTGGGCTATAACATAAATACCAACATATAGCAGCCTTCTACCTCTGCAAGAGTATAAACCCTCACTAACCCAGCATCCCGGGCCCCCCCTGGGCAGGAGTTCTTTCCCTGGTGACAGCCAAGGAGAGACTGCCCTGCTAGCCCCAACCCTCAGCATACATGTAGACCAGGTCTTGCCTGCATCCAGTCATTTGTACTTGTACCTGTAGCATACCAGGTTGCAGCCCCTCTTCCATGTCCTCCAGAATTTCCTGCTGAGGTTCTCACTGCACTTCTCCCCACACCCTTTTTGTTATGCAGTTCTAGTCTGTGACCCCTCCAAGCCCTGGGACATCCTGGTCAACCTCCTCCTGGCTCTGGCCAAGCTGGCCATCTATAAGACCAAGAAGGAGGCTTTGGCCAAGGGGAACCTGGGCACCTGTGGCGCTGTCTTTCTGGCATACCCTGCTCACATTTCCAGGCAGTTTCATTGATCGGCAACTACAGGCTCCCTTGACTCTTTCAGGGGGCAGTAGGTGCTGGCTGGTGTGGAATTTCCCCTTCTGAATCCCTAGTTATTTGCCTGTGACCTCACTCCTGTGCCTGGTTTTCCTTTTTGTTGTCCCAAGCATTCAGTTCACGTGTCCTCAGTGGCCTCCCTTCTTAAGGGAGGCTTATTGTTTTCTGTCATGGGCCAATGATGGGCCCATAGTCTACCCAGCCAGACCAGAGCTTGCATAGAGACTCACCTCAGGGCCAAAGGGTTGCTGTACAGACTTCAGAGATGCATAACCAGCCACCTGAAGACTGGCTCCACCTGAAATGGTCAGCTGGGGCAGCACGCTGCCACATGCAGCTGGAGTAGGCTCTTGACTGCCGGGAATTCTGCTGGAAGCTAAAAGGGGCTACTGCCACACATGCAGATCCCCCGGAGAGGGGAAAGCATGAGATCAGCAGAGCTTGTACAAATTGCGTGGAGACACAAGGACAGTGCTAGGAGCCAGAGCCAGAGGCTGGAGCCAGGGACCAAGCCAGAGTCAGGACTGGGAGCTGGAGCTGGGGACAAAGCCAGGCAGTAAGAGGATAAACCCCTCTATCAGAGAAGCTGCAGCGAGAGCTGTTGTGGGAAGGGGACAACAGAGTTGAGTCAAAAAATGAGGGGTTTGGCAACGGTGGTAGGGTAAACCAATTTAATTGATCAGGGAGGCGGTGAGGGAATGACTTGTAAATTGGCATGTCCTAAATAAATTTAGTGAAGATAAGCTGGTGCCTTGAGAGTTCCTTAACTGATGAAATATCAATAAGGAATGAACAATGACAAAACTCTTTATTTGATGAAATATAAATAAGGATCGAGTGATGATTCTTTACCAATGAAGTATAAGTAAGGATTAATTGAGTGATGACAATTTGTTGATTGGGGAAGTACCAATAAGGACCAATTGACGTGGTGAACAGGTGGTCAGACTCACTAACATGTGAATTATAAAACAGCTCATTAGTTGGATAAGCCAGCAAGAAGGAAATTGTTAGTTGGCTACTCCCAAGGACAAGTTACCAGAATGACTGATTAATAGCCTGGCACCACCCGGTGTATTTTATGAGGAAGAGATATCCAGAAAGATCGAGGGCCTGAGTCCGTATAGGTGCGGTAAGGGCAGGGAACAGGGGAGGTGGAGCCTGGGGAGGAAAGAGTTCTATCACTGACTGTGATAAACATCACACTTCCTTTTTTTTTCTGTTTTTTACTTTGAACATCAAGGCACAGCAGATGAATAACAAGGGAAACTCCAAAATGGGGGAGTGGGTAAGGACTTGCACAACAAGGATGATTAATGATATGGAGGGGTATGAGAGTGCTTCTTTGTACCTTCACATACAGATGGGGTTATACTGCATAGTGCGTAATGAGCAGTATATGTGGGATAACACTAGACAGAAAGTGGTTTTCCCCATCTAGGAGAATGTTCATGATTCCAAAAATTTCCTGTCTTGGATGAGGTCTAATTAATAAAAATCTGAAAAATTTTCAAACTGACAATCAGAAAAATGTTGCTTTAGATCAATGTTTGAGGCACCCCTCGGAAAATTCTTGCTCTTTGACTTTTCCACAGCCAAAAGGAGTGAAAATAACAGAGCAGTTTTTCTATTGCAAAGCACTCAGAAAGACTGTAACAGGTCAGATGTTTTCAACACTGTGGATTCCTATTTGAAATGTCTGGGTTTATTTTGTGAATCATGTTTGCATACCTAACAATGCTAACATTTTGAGACATCCCAGGGTGCCCGTAAAGGGATCTCAAGGCACCCAGGGTACTGCAGCACCCTGGTTGAGAATTGCCGGACTAAATTTTTAAAAATTTACGTAACATGCTAAAATAAAACTCACGGCAGGCAAGGCCTTGTTCCTTCTGAGTGAAATTCAACAACCTAAACCGGAGGTGTCAAACTCTCTTGGCCCCTTCCGACCAGATCCAGACAGCAGAGAGCCTTGTGGGCTAGATCCAGATCCACCTCCAATGGTAGGGTAAGCAGATTCAGGGAGTCACAGGGGTTAGCACAGCTCTAGGGCTCTGTATGCAGGGATTTGGCTCACTCTACCCCTCCCCCACAACTCCTTCAGGAGCTCCACAGGGCCAGATCTTTGATACACCTAGCCTAAATGATAAAAAGTCATTTAGAATTCTAATTGTATAAACCAAACTAACAAGATTTTAAATGGACAGGCTTTTTTTTCTAATGTACAGAGCTGGTCCTTCCTGTTCTGAGGTTTGAAGCTAAGACTGGAGTGCATTATTTTTGCAGAATATTAAAAGTTGGATGACATCATTTCATGCCCCATACCAGTACTCTCAACACCTAATCAGTGGAAACTTTCTAACTGAACATATGAGCTGGAATCAGACCAAACATTCAAGGCAGAAACTAAGCAATTTTAATACTAAGTGTTTAATATGAGGCTGTCCTGCACCAAGATACTTCAATATTCCTTTCTATAACAGACTAGATACTTACGCAGTGGCTTCATAAGCCAGATTGAGGAGAATCCCATCTCCCACACTCATCCCCAGGGCATTGCACATTCCCTGGATCTCTCCTGCAAAGGGCTGAGGGACGAAGAACTCCAATTCCTCTGCTAACGGCCGAATGATAGCGTGGACCCACTTCGGTATGGTTTCACTGGAAGACACGCAAACAGTAGCTAATCACACTTTTGATGTAATCACAGACAAGCCCTGTATAGCATTAGCTAGTTGTTGAGTCCACATAGGAGGGTGGACATGTACCTGGCTGGGGTCATCTGACCCCTGTGCCCCTTCCTGCCCAGGGCAGGGGGTCGGACTCAATGATCTGCTGAGGTCCCTTCCAACCCAAACGTCTATGATCTATGAGCACAGCCTCTCTGCTTAGCCCAAAACAGAACATGGCTTTAAAAAACAAAACAAATACCTTAGCAGCCAGCTTTATCTGACCTCACAGGTTTTTGCCCACTGCATTTACTGTGGTGGAATAATCCCTCTCAACTGAGCAGAAGTCAAGTTAAACACATTCCCACTCGCCTGCAGCTAGGGGAAAACTGTAGAGCGTCCTCGTCTCCCTCAAACCCCCACTTGAGGGCAGCTCTGGGGGTGAGGGGGTCACAACAGCATCTGCTTCCTTTCGACGCACAAAGTCTCAAGTGCTCGGACTTGAAAGGAGCAAGCCCCGCTCCCCCACCCCCGCGAGGCCAAGCACAGCGCTGCTCCTGATGCCGAGGGACCGGGAGAGGCCGGGGACGCGCCCTCCCCGAGGCGCGGCGGCAGCAGCGCCCCTGCTCGCTCACTCACTCACTCACTCACTCACTCACTCACTCACTCAATGACGCGGGTGAAGAAGTGTAGCAGCAGCTCTGGCTCGAAGCGCTGCAGCACCGGCAGCCAGCGCAGGTCGGGGTCGCTGTCCAGGCTCACGTTGCAGAGCGGCGCGGCCCCCGCCGACACCGCGCCCAGCAGCCGCAGCAGCAGCAGCAGCAGCGCCCAGCCCCCCGCTCGCCGCCCCATGGTGCCCGGAGCCGCCCGGAAGAGCCCCCGCTCCGCCCCCATGCTGCAAAAGGGCCGCGGCGACCTCCAGCAGTCACCCCCCGCCCCGCCCGGGGTGCCCCCGCCTTCCGGAAAGGGCCAGTAGCGAGCACGCGTGGGCGACACCACGCACCCCATTGGGCGCTTAGGTCTGGGGGCGGGACACGGCTCCAGCTCAGGGGGCCCTCTGCCCCGCTCCCATCCTGCGAGGCAGCAGCAGCGCCATATTTTCTTCCCAGAGAAACCAAGACAGGAGAGGGGAAGTCACTTACTTGGGCAAAGCTAGGAAGGCGACCTAGGTAGGTAGGTCGTAGTCCCCCCAGCCAGGTCCCTTGTGGCTAAGGAAGCTTTTCCTCTCTGCTGTTGCTGAAGTGAAAGATATTACCATAAATACAGCAAGGGGCTGGCCTGGCTTGGCAGCCATCTCCACAATGAGCTGACGTCCAACAAGAAATCGTATGAAAAGTGGGACTCCCGTGACAGAGTAAAAGTATGACTTGGGTGTGTAGACAGACAAGGGCGAGGCCTCATGCAAGATGTAACACACCCGAGTGGCAACAAAAAAGGGATTTTGCAAGCGTGTCAAAACTAAGAGGAAGACCACAAAAGCCACAAGAGTGTTTCTCAAGCAATGGGATGCTTCAAATAGATTCAACAGATATCTCGAACAGTGCAAAAGTGGGGGTTTGTTTTTATCACGGTGGGACCAGGGTTTTTTGGCAAAATAGTTGGTGGGACGTGAGGTGCAAAAGGTTGAGAACTTTTGCCTTAGGGAATGCACAAGGCAGTCTAGTTACAAGATTGCAGAAAAGGCTGAAGTATTTAATGCTTTTTTTTAACTTTAGTCTATGGGGCAGCTAGCAGATGACAGGCACAGTTGGCAGCAAAGATAGGGGAGGAGTCCAACAACCTCTGATAATGGAAAAAGAGATTAGGGCGTAGTCAGGGTAAAAATAAATGTTGCCATATGAAGTGGATCACTTGTGTTAGGATGTGTCCCAGTCCAATGGATCTGTTGTTTTGGGCCAGACGCACATTGTTAACCCACCACATCAATGGGCAGGACAACAGGCAACACACTCTCCTGGGGCTTGGTCCTGCACAGCCTGGGAATTCCCATGCAGGAGCAGGCCCCTCCAGCCCTGGGAAGATCTGCCCAGCTTTCTTGGCTTACCAAGATGCGTCCCCAGGATTTCCAGGGGCACATTGTAGGAAGAGGGGAATGACATGCAAACACACCCAGGGCTGGAGGGGCCTGATCTGCATTCTGCTGGGATGGGCCAGGCTGGCTCTGTTCTGTGCTGCACTGTGCACCACTGAAGCTGTGGGTAACGTGGGCTGGGCTGGATCCTGGTAGGTACATGAGCAATAGTCATGCTGCGTCCCCATGGGAGGCCCAGTGCTCCTGCTACACTTACTGGCCCACCTACCCCTAGTGGTGCCCTGCCAATGACTTCCAGACCTGCCACTACAAGCTGAATCGCAGATTCCATCTGGTTACCTGGCCAAGTTCCCTGAAAACGTGAGCAGCTGTTACAGCAAGGGCATCTACATGACTAGTAAGGGCAGAGGCCAGGGCAGGGGCAATGCCCTGAGACATGCTGAGAGCCCTATGAGCTTTGACCCTGGCTGTGCTGGTGGCCCCAAGGAAGGGAAGCAAGCAGCACTTGAGTTATTATCAGATTGGGAGGGAAGCATTTCCTTGGCCCCTGGGCAGGCAGCAAACTGTTTTTTTGCAGCAAATATGCATCCCTCTACTTATCCCCCCACCTCATTTTCCCTCCTGCCAAGGCTTCTGTGCCCCCAGTGGCAGGGAGTGGAGTCTGACAAGGCGAGAGAACAGGAATGACTGGTAGGTTTGTGTTGCATCTGTTATGGTTAAGTGACATGATTAGAAAAGTTTAAATGGCTAATTTTTTAAATATTTACACCTCTAACATCACTGCACAGGAGCTACTTCATAGACATTAGGGCTGGAAGGGACCTCATAAGATCATCGGGTCCAGCCCCCTGCCCAAAGGGCAGGAAGTCAGTTAGGGTCAAAGGATCCCAGCACGATAGGTATCCAAATGTTTCTTAAGTGTCCAGATTAGGTGCTTGCACCACCTCTGGTGGGAGTCTGTTCCAGGCCTTGGAGGCTTGGACAGTAAAGACATTTTTCCTTATGTCCAGCCTAAAATGGTCTTGCAGGAGTTTGTGACTATGGGACCGTGTCATCCCTTGGGGTGGTCTGATGAACAGGTGTTCCCCCAGATCCTGATGCACACCCCTGATGTACTTATAGGCTGCCACTGTTAGTCAGTCATCTCTATATACACTACTAAAGTTATTTTTTAAAATAAAATTAAAATCTTTTATAGATGTTTGATTTTTAGTAATTTTTTTATCAATACTTTGTTGAAGTGATTTCTTCTGAAAAATTGTGCAGTCTTTGACTCAAGTCTCTGGGAGATCTAATGCCCTTGAAACTACCACTGATTGGTTGAGGGTGATGGGGCAGGATGTTAGAGGGGGTCACAAACTCGCTACCTGATAGGTTATGCCTGTGCCTCATAGAGGGCAGAAATCCTGGGCCCCCCTGTGACTACTGGCATGGCCAGGGGAGTGGCCTGCTGCAGAATGGCTAATGGTGGCAGGAAGGTAAGCAAGGGCTGACACAGCCCCCATCACCCTCCAGTTGCCACTGCTATGGCCTCATCTCCCCAGTCATTAGGCCCCTCCTCCCCATGCCCTGTGCTGGAGCTGCTGCTGTGCCAGTGGGCAGGTGGCAGTGGCAGCTCCAGCTCAGGCAGGAGGGCACACCACAACCACTGCATGTCCCTTGCTGGAGTTGGGGCTGCCGCTGCCATGGCGGCTCCTTCATGCCCCACAGTCTGGATTTGATAACAGGCTTAATATACCTGAAGGGCAATTACGGAGAGGATGGAGATAAACTATTCTCTGTGGCTGTAGATCAGGGTTGAGCAAAATATGGCTTGCAGGCTGGGTT